TCCCTCCTTTTTGTATTCGGGGCTGGTAATTGGAAAAAAATTCATTTGACTAGGCTAAAACTTCCACCTTAAGAATATTTATTGAGTAGACAGGTAAAGATATTGCCTATCAAAGGCAATAATCAAAATCTATATGTATCATTTAAGATTTAGTTATAGGTTGGGATATTGCCTGTGAAAGACAGGGATCTTAGGGTACCTGGGTGGCTCAGTGGGTTAGGCCTCTGCCTTCAGCTCAGGTCATGATCCCAGGATCCTGGGATTGAGTCCCACGTCAGGCTCTCTGCTCAGCAGGGAGCCTGCTTCCCCTCCCCCTTCTCTGCCTGCCTCCCTGCCTACTTGTGATCTCTCTGTCAAATAAATAAATAAAATCTTAAAAAAAAAGAAAAAAGAAAAAAGAAAGGCAGGGATATTGCCTATCAAAAGTAATAATCAAGGGCACCTGGGTGGCACAGTCGGTTAAGCGGCTGCCTTTGGCTCAGGTCATGATCCCGGGGTCCTGGGACCGAGTCCTGCATTGGGCTCCCTGCTCCTCAGAGAGCCTGCTTCTCCCTCTCCCTCTGCCTGCTGCTCTGCCTACTTGTGCTCTCTCTGTCAAATAAATAAACAAAATCTTTTTAAAAAAATCTATGTGTATCATTTGCATACAGTGCTCCTGCACCCTGTCAGCAATTCTTTTATTTTGAGGGATATTATCTATATAACCTTAAGGTTGCAAAATGCAGAACCAGAAACTTCATTCTGACATTTACTCGAACATTTGTGTACAAATGCAGTAAAACAGCATGGTGGAGAGAGAAGTTCTACTCCCTTTGCCTGGGTTCAAATACCGCTTTCCATACTTCCATTCCTTGTGATCATGAACAAGTTTTGCATCCGCTCTGAGTCTCAATTTCATCATCAATAATAAATTTCACAGGAGGTTGGCATAGGAATAAAATCAATGACACTTTCAAAATGCTAGCACATAATGAGCACAAATCAATGTGGGAGACGTTCTTGACCCCTTGTGCCCCCATCCCTTGTTTCCATTCTCACTCTGTATCAGAATACAGAGTGCAACAGGGAGGGGCTTACACACCTAAAAACAAGCAAACAAAAAACAACACATAGGCACACAGGCATGTCTATACTACATGACATAATGATGTAATCAGATGCTTACATTTACTTATAGTGATTTTCCAGAATATAATATTAAATGTTTTTTCATTTATATTTGACATTTCAGAATAAGGACTAAATATATTGTGCATAAATGTATATCACAAAGGCGTATATACGATAAATGCACATATACAATATGGTATATATGCGATGGGTGGAGACTTATAAAAACATACTGATGACTCAAAACCTCCCCCCCAAAAAAACAAAACAACAACAACAAAAGAAAGTGCCTTGCACAGTGAGAAGTCCAGGGACAGGGCAGCCCCCATTTGTCAACACAGACCTTGGTGACACCAGCTGTTTGTCCTGCCACCCTCAGGGAATAGCTCCCCTCATGGTCACAAGGTGGCTGCAGCATTCCAGGCATCATATCCATGCAGGAGAGTGTCCCAAGGAAGAGAGGACCTTCTACAGGATCTCTCTCTTAGAAGTAAGGAAACCTTTCTTAGAAGCCCCCAGCACACCTCCTCTCAGTCTCAGAGGTCAGGATTTGTCACATGCCCACACCTAATCCAGATACTACCACCAGCCTAGATCAGAGAGCTTTGGACAGCAAAGGGGGCTGGGCCCCCCTGAAGTACAACCTAAGGTGGAATCTGGTAGATGCCTGAGCAAAATTAGTGTTCAGATAGGGGAAAGGAAAGGGGCCATGGATGCCAGGGCAGATTATTCAATGCTGTGTTGCTACACTGTAGATTGCATGAAGCCTCATGTATTGTAAATCCCAAGAGATGAGACTGAGCTAACCAGCTGGGAGATGTGGTCAGGGGAGGCACACAGGGAATGCAGAGAAGGCAAGTTGTCCAGAGCAGACTCTTCATCGGGGTGAAGGGGCCCGATCACAAAAGAGAGGAGGGAGAGGACTCAGGAGACCAGTCTGACCTATGTCACAGTGCTGTCTAGAGAAAGTTCTACTGGAGCATAAACTGGGACAGGTGTCCCATCAGGAGCAAATGCAGGACAGTCTGAGCTGGTATGAGCAGACGGTGACAACAAATATGGCCTCATCGGAGATGAACACTCATGTCTGGGCATATTTCTGAGCGTGGAGATATGGAGAACCCAATCCCTTGACTCTCCTATTGAACAGTTCCTAAACGTTGGCCACCGACCATATCTCCAGCTGTGAACTAGCCCCTGAAGAAAATAAAAAGATACAGTAGAAGACCTGGGGTCTGCTTTGAAGAACTTCAACTCTGCTGGAGGAGTCAAAAGGAACCCAGGTGGGGTCTAGAGCAACACCCAAGGCTATGGAAGCAGAAGCTCAGCAAAGCTGGGAGAGAAATGGCTGCGGGGCGTGGGAGGGGGCTTGAGCTGGGAGCAACCCCTGGGAGGTCCAGGGTCTGAGTTAGGGCAGACAGAAGAGGAGGGAGAGATGAGAGCCATACGGATGGGAGGGAGGGTGATGACAAGGAGAAGCTCTGACAAGTATGGAGACACTCTGGTGGGTTGTGAGAAATTATTTGGATAGAGAGAACAGGGTCACGGGGATTTAATTTCACGTGTTAGGCCTGTTAGGTTTTGGGAGAGGGACTTTGTAGATGGAGTCGCCTGATGATTATGAGGGTGCTGTTCTATTTGGGGTCTTTATTGTGAAACGGACTTAGCCAGGTGTGTGGCTGATCGACAGGCCCATTCTTTCCTGTGACTTTGACAAGAATCCCATCAGCAGCCTGGCCAGGGACTCACTGCCAAAACCAACTTCGAGCAGCAAGTGTGGCTGTGAAAAGGAAACAGGCTTTGGAGCCAGACGAACTTCATTAAAGGTCTAGCGCCATCGTTCATTAGCAAATACCTTCATCTCTCAGAACCTTAGTTTTTAGGCTGTGCAATGGGCATAATACCTACCCCACAGACAGCACGCAAAATATATTCTCTTCCCTCCTTTTGCTTAACAAAACTCTTAAAGCAAAACCTCCTGTGCTCAATCTTATCTAATAATGTTGCATGGCAACGTCAAAACTGTCTCACCCATTAACACCAAAGGCAGGGAAAAGTTTCGAGTCTTTCTTGATTTAAAACTTGAAATTTTCTACCAAATTTTGGAATGTTCTTATTTTTAAATTAAGCACAAAGCGGGGAGCCTGGGTGGCTCAGTTGGTTAAGCAGCCGACTCTTGGTTTCAGCTCAGGTCATGAGATCAGGGTGGTGGGTTGGAGCCCCACACTGGTCTCCATGCCCAGCACAGAGTCTGCTTAAGATTCTCTGCCTCTCCTTCTCCCTCTGCCCCTACCCCTTGTCTGTGCACTCTTTCTCTCTCTCAAAAAAATAAATAAAACCTTTAAAACAAATTAAGAACAAATATGATTTATCTACAAAAATAAACATTTTGATTTCATCCTGAACTTTTATTTGTTGTTTTATTTTTTCTATTTTTGAAATAAGTATTCATTACCAGTTAACTGAGAAGAAAGAAGGAGGCACAGAGAGCTGAGCAGAAAATGAGTAGATTCTTATAGTATGAGCGTATGAGACGTCTACTTTTACTTTAGCATTTGAATTCTCTAAAAAGGCTATTATTGCCTTTTATACTTTAAAAACAATATATTTTTTTAACTTAAAAAATGCGATTCTCCCACTTTTACTTACCCCAAACCATCCCTGGGTGAGCAACAAAGCAGTATGCTTGAGGGAGGGAGGGAATAGCTCCTGAGCTTTCCAGCTTTGAGGCAAAAGGCAATAAAGGGGGACCCCTGGGTGGCTCAGTTGGTTAAGCAGCTGCCTTCGGCTCAGGTCATGATCCCAGTGTCCTGGGATCGAGTCCCACATCGGGCTCCTTGCTCGTCAGGGAGCCTGCTTCTCCCTCTGCCTCTGCCTGCCATTCTGTCTGCCTGTGCTCGCTCTCTCTCCCTCTCTCTCTCTCTGACAAATAAATAAATAAAATCTTTAAAAAAAAAAAAAGGCAATAAAGGGGAGGCGGCTGGTGTAATCCCAAGGGGATGGCCTTGAGTAATATTCCCAATTTTGCCCTTCACCTTTGAAAAGGAAAATACCACATATCACCCATTCAGTCAAAAAACTTGTTTCCCAGCTCCTTCCCAGGAGGAAAACGTAACAAACAAAACAAAACAAAAATACATTATTAGAAAATAAAAGGAAGAGAAAGAAAAGAAAACCTAAAATGACTGAAATAAAAATGAAAATAACTATTTGGAAGGGTGGAGGGAGGATGGGTGAATTTTTTCCTCCTGTTCCATCCGCATCATCAATGTCTGTGCTGTACTGATGGTTGGGAGTCCTTTGATGCAGACCGCGCTCTTTTGGAAGATGTGTGAGGTGTGGGAGGGGGGCGGGTGTGTAGTGCCTATATGCGGATGTGAGTGTGGGAGTATTCTGTGTGAATGTGTGTGTGTGTGTGTGTGTGCGTGTGTAACAGGAATGCGGATGAACGTGGAAAGTGTGGAGAGGGCGGGTGCGTGGACGCCAGTGTAGACCGCTTGTGTGTTGAACGCGGAGAATGTGCGCAGCGTGGCGCGTACACTGGTGTGTGTGTGAGACTGCGGATGTGTGAGCAGTGTGGTGTGTTTGTGTGTGCATGCAGAGTCCACAAACACCAGCGGAGTACTGCGTGTGCGGGGTAGGTGAGCGGCGAGCCAGAGTGGGTGGGTGCGTGCGCGCGCCCTGCACAGCACGCCTACTTCCCAGGGCCCCCGGCGGCCCCGCCTCCGCCCCGCCCCGCCCCCGGTGGTCCCGCCCCCGCCCTCCCCGCGTGGCCCGGTCTGAGGCGGCGGCGGGAGCGCGCCGCGCCGGAGACCGCCCCACTGCGGAACGCGGCGGGGAGGGGAGGGCGGGGTGGGGCGGGCGCCCGGGCGCCCTGGGCCGGAAGCGCCGCGGTTTCGCTGGCGTGGCCGCGGACATGTGCAGGATGTCCTTCAAGGTGAGCGTCACGGGCTCGGGGAGGGAGTGCCGGGCCGGGCGGAAGACCTACGACGGCGGGCGCGCACCTGGGGAGCTCCCGGGGTGGCTGGCGCCGCGGGGCCCGCAGGGTGGAGTGAGCGCCGCTCTGGGTGCTGGTGGGGGACTGAGGGAAGCCACCCGGCTGGTGTGGCTCCTGTGGTTGGTGGTTTGGCTGTGTGAGCTTTGCTTGAAAGGCTTTCAGTACTTGCAGCGACAGGTCAGGAGAGCCCGGCGGCAGAGCGTAGGGGCGGCGGGGACTGTCGCCGGGGTAACGGGCGGGGGCGGGGAAAAAGCCCGAGGTCAGCGCTGTCCCGTGGCGGCGCCCCGGGGAAAGACCCGGGCTGCGGCACCAATTCCTGATTCTGGGTCCTCATTTCTGAATGCCAGCGGCACCCCTGTCGCCTCCTCTCCAGAGCACTTTTTGGACGCTGAAGCTGAGTGCCCAGCAGAATGGAGCTGCCGCTGATTACCTCGCTTCAGTGTCCAAAGGAATCTTAAGAGTTGCAGGTCATTCCATTTAATCCTCACATTTCAGGATGAAAGTGACGGTACTTGATTTGCCTCTATTGAAAGGTCCTAATAAAAATAATTAAAATGTGTTGAGCACTTAAAATGTGCCTGACTCTGAGCCAAGGGCATCTGGGCGCATCTTCTGAATCCTCAGGAAGATCCGTGAAATGGTACTTTCGTGTGTGTCTCGCCTTCCCCCCGCCCCCCCCCCTTAAAGCAAGAACACTAAAACATGGAAAAGTTAAGTAACTCATCACGGTCCTGCAGCCAGTAAATGAATGGTGTTAACATTGAAACCCTAATGTGTCTGGCTTCCATCTCCTACAGTAACTCATATAAAGAGGACTGATATGTTGAGATTTGCATGTTAGAAAGATCTCTGGCCACAGTTTGAAGAAGGGAGGCAGAGCTGGGGTCGTCTTGTTAAATGGTAGGGACTAGGGAACAGGTGTCTGGAATAGAAGGAAGTAAACAAATATGAGTGACTTAAAAAAATTTTAATTCACGAAATTCTGTAATTGATGTTTTTCCTTAAGTTAGGGAAGACTAGAGAGGTAAAGATAAAATGTTTGGTTTGGGACATGTAAAATTTAAGGATGGGTGGAAGTCCAGAAAGAGATGTTGATTAGACATATCTACAAACTGGGAACCCTGGAGTATAGTCAACCCTGGAGTATAGTCTAAGCAGGAGGTAGAGTGAGATATAGGAGTGAGCAGTGTTAGGTGGTAATTAAACCCGTGAGAATGAATGTGATTGCCCCATGAGACCATGTAAAAGTGGAAAGCAGAGCACTGAAGACAAAATCTTGAAGATCAGACTTTGAGAATGAGCAGAATAAGAGAAGCCCATTTAGAAAACTGAAGAGCAGCCAGCAATGTATGAGAACAATCAGAAGCGTGTGCTGATATGTAAACCAAGGATCTCTAATCCTTTGGTAAAGATGAGGAGGAACTCAGTGATAAATACTACAGAGAAATCAAGCTGGGAATTAAAAAGTGTCCATTGTGTTTAGTAACAAACAGCCACTGGTGACCTTGCTCTGAGCAGTTTTAGTGAAATGCTGGCTTCAGGAGCTTGATTGCAATAGCTTCAAAAGAGAGTGGGTAGGAACCACCAGGGTCCAGAGCTGTTTCAAAAAATTCTGCAAGAAACAGTGGCCGCAGCAGGGATTTGGAGTTGGCCAAGGGTTTGTTTGCTTTAAAATGGTAGAGATGTGACCATCTTTAAATGATGACAAATATCTCAACAATAAAAAGACAATAACCCAATTTAAAATGGGCAAAGGAGGGGCGCCTGGGTGGCTCAGTGGGTTAAAACCTCTGCCTTCGGCTCAGGTCGTGATCTCAGGGTCCTGGGATCTGAGCCCCGGCATCGGGCATCGGGCTCTCTGCTCAGCGGGGAGCCTGCTTCCTCCCTCTCTCTCTGCCTGCCTCTCTGCCTGCTTGTGATCTCTGTCAAATAAATAAATAAAATCTTTAACAAAAAAACGGGCAAAGGAGATGAACAGACATTTCTCCCAAGAAAATATACAAGTGGCCAATAAGCACCTGAAAAGACGCTCAATGCCTTTAGTCATTAGGGAAATGCAAATCAAAACCATAATTAGACACCACTCCACACCCACTAGGATGACTATAATCAACAAAACAGTGTCAGGTGTTGGCAAGAATGTAGAGAAAGTCAAGTCTTCGTATCTCCATGGTAGGGGTATAAAGTAATGCAATCATATTAGGAAACAGTCTGGTTGTTCTTCCAAAAGTTAAACATAGAGTTACCATATGACCCAGCAATTCCCCTCCTGCATATATACCCAAAAGAAATGAAGATGCATGTTTACACAAAAACTTGTACACAAATATTCATTTTGATATTCATAATTGCCAAAAAGTAGAAACAGCCCAAATGCCCATCATTTTGTTTATCATTGATAATAAACAAAATGTATGTATTAGCTTGAGCTGCCATAACAAAATACTATAGAGTGGGTAGCTTAAACATCAGGCTTTTTTTTTTTTTTAAGATTTTATTTATTTATTTGACAGAGAGAGAGAGAGAGACAGCGAGAGCAGGAACACAAGCAGAGAGCCCAATGTGGGGCTCGATCCCAGGATTCCGGGATCATGACCCGAACTGAAGGCAGACGCTTCATGACTGAGCCACCCAGGCACCCAAACAGCAGGCATTTAATTTCTCACAGTTTTGGAGGCTGGAAAGTCCAAGATCAAGATGCCGGAGATTGCTGTCTGGTGAGAGATCTCTTCCTGGCTTGGTAACAGCCACATTCTTACTGGATCCTCCTATTGAGAAAGAAATCTCTGGTGTCTCTTCCTTTTCTTGTAAGAACACTGATTCCATCATGGGGGCAGTACCCTCTTGATCTCATCTAACCTAATTACCTCCCTAAAGGATTCACCTCCAAATACTGTCACATTGGAAATTAGGGCTTCAACATATGAGTTTGGGGGCAAGGAGGGACACAAATCTTCAGTCCATACCATGGTGTATCCACACAATAGAACATCATTCACCATAAAAAAGAAGGGAGCTGTGACACGTGCTATAATGTGGTTGAACCTGGATACCATTATGTTGAGTAAAAGAAGCCAGACCCAAAAGGCCACATATTATATGATGCCACTTATATGAAATGATCAGAATAGGCAAATCCATACAGACAGAAAGCAGATTCTTGGTTCCCTGGGGCTAGGGAAGAATCGGGGAATGGAGAGAGAGATTGTTAATAGGTAGGAGGTGATGAAAATGTTCTGGAATCATGACGGTAATGCAACCTTAGGAACACACTAAAAACCACTGAATTATATGCTTTCAAAGGGTGAATTTTGTAGTATGTAAATCAGAATCTCAATAAATAAGTATTCGAAATGACGATAGGGAGGCTCAATGGAGGGGATGGCTGAGCTGAGTGAGGAAGCATGCAGGAGGGGGCAAGGCAGAGTGTGAGAGCACGGCTTCATTCGTTGTAGGGGTTCCCCTAGACAGGTGGAGAGGAAACCCTCTTCCGTTGGGATTAGAGGAAAGATGAGGTTGAGCAAACCTTATCCATGTTTTGTAAAGTGAAGGCCAGGATGAGATCAGAATCGGGGTGGGGGGGGTAGGAAGGAAAGTGCCAGAATTTGCCGTGAAGAAGGGAGAATGTCCAGGACATGACAGCTACTAGGTGAGGTGAGGCACAGGACAAGCAGGTGGGATGGCCTGAGTCCTGAAGGAGCAGAGGTTTGTATACTTGACCGGAAGGGCTCGGCATCTCCAAAACAAGTGAGGAGAGCCTAAGGGCATTTTCCACTCTGGGGCTGGTGTGGGAGAAGGCTTAGTCCACCAGCTGGAAGGCACCTGGAGCTTAGAGCAGGGAGACAGAGGAGACACTGTGTTAGGTTAAGGACACGGAGTTGATTTTCCATGAAGTGGACTTCCACACAGCACACAGGGAAGGCCTGAGGGCAAGGGAAGCAGAGTTGCACGCCCATCGACAGAGCCTGCACTAGCCCTAGCAGGCATACCATCAAGCATATTAAAATGTGCCCTCTGCCCAAGATGATAGACTTCTTATTGTACATTTTTGGAAGGGTGTTTATTATATTGCTATTAAAGCAACTTAGCCATGAGTAACATTTAATTTATATTGGCCCATGATTTTTCTGCAGTGTCCGTATATAATACTTGTGCAGAGAGAAAATCAGACCTACAAATTATTTTCATGTGCCATCAATATTTTATGAATACTGAATTTAGCAGTGAATAGAGTTGATAAAGATGGTACATTTTCTAACTATTTTATTCATTCACTTTGATTTTAGAACCATAGATTAACTTTATTTTCACAGGACTCTGAAAGTCTCATAGGCCCTCGTCCCTGGGTCTCCAAAGCTGTTGTTTAAAAAGCCTTGGCATTGTTGGCCGAGTCTGTAGGAGGATCAACAGAGCATCACTAGTCACAAGTTAGCCTTGTATTGATGACTTAGAGTCACCGCATGTAGGGCTCTTTGCTTCTGAGCCACACGGACCCCTTCGCAGCTCCTCCTTGCTCCATTAAGCTATCAGCAATCACCCGTCTGCCTCCAGCAAACTTCCTCTTTCAAAATTGGCAAGTTCTCCTCTGTTCTGGTTGGGAAAACAGACACGTTTGTTAGAATTATTTTTAAAGTAAAAGCAAACTCAGAGTGCAGGTCTGAGCCTTTTTGTGGAATAAAGGTCATGGATTTCAGTCTACAACTTGTGACTCTGTAAATTGCTGTATCAGGACTTACTCTTCAGGCCTGAGGTTGCCAAAAACCTAACACAATGAGGAAGGAGACTCTTCACGCGGTGAAGGAGGTCACCACCACAGAGGAAACATCACTAGAGATAAAACAATGCCTGCATCTTTCTTGAGCACGTCTTCCCGGAGAGGACAGTGTGTCTCAATACCATGTTTCACCTTGGTGTTAGAAGCTGCTCATGGCTGGGCTAAA